TTCCGAAGTTTTGCTGTAAAATAAGTTAGTTCGCTGCACGACAAGCGTTGTTTTGTGGCAGTAATGGTGACATTCTGTTATTACTTCATATGCGAGGAAGAAAGTGGATGGCACTACAGGTTTCTCCTTTGATGATTAATCCAGATGTGAATCTCAAAAGCTTCTCACTAGCTGCATTTGTTACTTGAGCCTTAGGTCTATGAAACGCAACCATAATTACTTAGTAAGGTTCGCACACTAAACTTCAGATGACTGCCTGCCATGTTAAAGTATTGGCTGGAGATCTGCGGCATTATTAACTTTAGGCGATGGGTCGCTGATCTGAACAACGGTGTTCCAGCAAAGTTTGAGTAAAGTTGAGTGGCTGAGTAAAGTTATTGCACACTGAGAATGGAGCTTATTGCTCCAGGGCTTATTTGAGAGTTGAATTTGTAACCCACGGCTGCATCCCCCAAAATGCCTACGAAACATTTTGAAATGACTATTATGTCTTAATGTGTGCACTTATCAATTAGCTAACCATTTCTTATTTTCATTTTTATGATGGATAAAACTGATTTATTTTATTCAGGACAGGAAGAGAATCCTATGTAGTCGTAACTATGTAGAAACAGTAAATAGTGGAATGCATTGTCCTGCGGAATGATGGCTTAGGATCTTCAACTCTGTGGGTATGGGGGTGTTCGTGTTTCTCTGACACATTAAAAAAACATTTTATACTATGGAACTTTTTACTGTTCATTTTCTGCTAAAAGACCATAAATATAGTGTCATATCAATAAAATTCAAAAAGTTCAGCCGATAATATATGCAGCAATCAGTTATTTGAATTTCATATTAAGTAGTTTATTCTAAGACTTGTCTCGCCTCGGTTGTCTCCCGGAATTCCCAAAGAATTTTGAAAATTGTCTCTATTTTTATCACCAATTGTGATAATTGGTAGAGCCGATTTTGTCCTGATAATTGGCAGAGCCAATAATTGTCTCGTCTCGAATAGAAAAAAGTATCAAATGCAGTGATATATTGGGACCTGTGTTTTTTGAATGACGAAAAAAGTTCTACTCTTGGTTGTAGTTGTCCTAAAACTGGGTAAAAGAATATTTAATAAAAGAAATTTGCAAATGAGAAATGAAACGTACGGCAGGTTTTTATTATGGATGTGCTATCTGTGTGCTAAGCATAAACATGTTGTGACAATTGGTATTCATAAGATATTATTCAAGATTTTCACATAGCTCATATCAGCCACGATTTCTTTATCTGCTCTTCTAATCTGATATAATTATTTGAAAGAGCTGGATTTTTCAATAACAAGACACGATTCAGTGCCGAAAGGTCTCCTTGCAACTTGTGCCGGTCTATATAAGACGGGCAAAGAACTAAACAAATTGGCTCTTAATTATCGGTCAAATAAAATATGTTTTCGATCAATACTTGCTTCATTCCCAAGCCGATGAACTTTTGCGATGATCCTCAGCGCGAATTATACATGGAGTGTTAATTGTGCTTGGCCAGGCGGTCCATAGCGCGCTCATTGCACGTACGGAAAGAAAAATCGTTACGGATTTATTCGGCTGGAACATGGAAAATTCAAGTGATTTTGCCCCTAGAGCACCTGAAATTACGGCTCAATTAGCGTTTCCAGTGTTTATCTTTTCTGTGTTACACAGAAGAAGCGAAAAAAAATTATATATAATATCATATCCGATATAATGTTTACGTTTTCACGTATAGCTAACGACAGCCAAATCCGTTGAAGAGATTTGAGTAAAAATGTGACCAATGTAGTATTCAATAAAATTGCCTCCACAAAGCCTTCATAAAATTGATCAATTACATGATTGTTCTTCATTGCCGAAGCAGGACTACTCAGCAGGAAGCAGGACTACTCAGAAGTGTCAATACTTCGTAGTGAGTATAGTGACTGCTAAGTAGAAATTACACACAAACATCATCGTTTCGATTGTCTCATGGAAACCCTGTAGAATCTCAGATGACAAATAAGATACATGTATAATTAATGGCTAGATTAAACATCATTACAGGTAAAAGTGGACGACATAACACTAGTGAATTTAAAATCAAGTCGTGATTACATCCATAAATGAGAGATTGAGTAAATTTATCGAAATTCCGACTCAAATTCGGGTTCAAATTTTGGTTGCGAAAAATCATCAAATAAATCAAATTTGTTGCATAACTATTTAGTAATATCATCAATGATATAAAAATAATCGAAGATCGCAAGTGATGACTTAAATATTCTTGATTCTCACTCGAATTCTTTTAATTGCAAATGCAGCTGGAAATGTCGGGCAAGATTAAGCTGAGTGGCGGGCGGTACGCCGAGGAGCTTCCTGGCGCACTGATGCAGCGCTACGCCCAAGACTTCACCGGGACTAAGGGGCCGATGTTGCGCATTGAGCCCTCCGGCACTATCGTCACGCAGGACTACAAACTCATTGAGAAGGAAATATATAACTTCAAGGTGGGTTTTGAGTACGTTAATTGGTTTTTCATTATATTATAGAGATATATATAAAATATTGATTTAGTCGATTATTACTATAAATAAATAAAATAATTGTCGATTATTAATATAGTTATATTTTGTACGTATTAAATTATTGCGAAATGTTCGAAATCATAATTTTTTCGCATGCAAATCACCATAGTACACTATCTATTCTATGGACGATAAACGAGTGTTATTGTTGAATCACAAAGTCTCATTACTAGTGTGTACAACAAATTGTCCGTACTCTGGGGCGCCTCGGGGCCAACTAAGTTGAACCTTCTTGATAGTCCAAAAGTCATAAGAAGAATTTTTCTCGAATGAAAGAATTAGGAAGCTTTTTCTAATATTTCTCGACCGTCCATAACAGACAGCGGAAGCTCTTTGTTTGGGACTGCTGTATGGTGAGTCATCAATATCAAGTATAATGTCATTACATCCGCCACATACCTGCAGTGAACGTGCTAATTAATGACTATATGGTAATGCGTTATTGAGAAACGGAAACTATGAACCAATTAAGTCCATTAAATTAAATGACTTCAACCGAAATTCTTTCTAGATAGCAATATACCTTGGTAGAAAGACCATAACGAAATTCAAGAGATCATAAATCATGTTGACATTTCTTTGTATGGTTCATCTGATTAATTAAGTGAGCAGCAAACCAATTGGATTGGCAGTAATTCAAACGACAAATACCACTCTTCTCTCTGGTGACGTGATGTAGAGATGACAAGTTCGAATCTTACGACCGTTGGTCTCGGTTGTAGATGTGCTACTGAAAGAAGCACTTTCAAAATGTATTGCTCGGAGGTGGTAAACTATGGTTTATAAACGCCACACAGAAAACATGTCGCTGTACCACAAATGGAATATCGATGCTCTACTGATGTCGTAGGTCAGGTTTATGGAAGAATCAGTTTTATGGCAGAAGTGGCCATCTTCACGATCAAGGAACGGCATTGACACACCGGATGCCTCTCAGCTATTCTCCATTTGTAGCTTCAGCAGTTCGCAACCACACCACCTACAAATAAATTTTTGGGGGGGATACTGTAGCGCTTCATTGTCAGGAACTAACGTGATGTGTTCTCCATTATGCCACTTTGCACAATGATACAATGTCGTTAACTTGAACCAATGTACAGGGTTATTCTAAATAATGGACCCAATTTAATAAATTTGTATTGCTTTAAGTATGAACTCACAATGAATAATTCATACACCAATGGAAAGTGGAAGATTTAAAGTTTTTTTTACATATTTATGGATGTTCAATACGGCAAACATCGAAACGGTACCTAAACAGTATTTATCGCATAGACGAAAATCTGGCTCCTCACTTCAGACCATCCAGATCACTTGATCTCACCAGATCACATGATGATCAAACATTACACGAATTAGATGTGAAGTTATGAACGAATCCATGTGTTCGTCGGCAACGTGTTTTGATCGGCGATGTTTGAGCAGGGGATAAACAAGGCGTGTGAATTGAACGCATTTATTGCTGTCACGAATATAATGTGAGACCTAAAGCAACATAAGAGACAAGTGCCAGATGAGTAGAATACTCGTCGGGTATAACGACTCGGTTACATAAAACGTGTGGCGAGTAAGACATGAGTACGTGAATAATGCGCCGCCTGATTTGTTTAAAAGCAGGCATCAGGAAGGTGCGCTGAATACCAGTGCACGCAAGGAGGGAGTTAATTAAACTATTGAAGGCAGTGTATATATGAGCAACAACTGCCCATGACCTAAAGTAATGTAAAATAATGCGCTCATTACGGTTGTGCATGTAGGGGCGGCATTTGCTTCATCACATCAAACCAATTACTCTCATTACGACCAAGTAAACGATCAAATTTATGGAATTGAGACCCAAAGCGGGGACCGCATGGGAGGAATTTAAACTAAACGCTAGAATTTTAACCAAACACAATTGTATATTGTCTAGGTCGAATCAATTTATACAGCATTTCGCTCGTATCAAACACACACAAAACCTGTGCCAAACTTTAAGAAAATCTCACTCAGTACACAGGCTATGCCTTATGTAGTATACATTTTAGAATCAATGTGGCGACCGAACAGCAGACATATGGCAGCTTGTTAATTTGGACAACTTAAATCTAAGCCAAACACAGAACGAATAACGAGAACTTTTCCTAAAAACTTCAATAAACTTCAATATATTGCGAAGAGATTTACATTTATTACATTTTATGGTTACTTCGAATAAGATCTGCACATGTAGGATTTCAACCCGACGCATATTATATGAAAAATTACGAATCCTTGTCTTTTGCCAGCTGGAAATAAATTCATGAACTTTTGCCTTTTCGTAAGTGGTTCCATCACTTCACACGCTAAAGTAACAGCACTCCTGCGTGGCATCAACACTTCACACAGCACTCGTGCGCGGCATCACCACTTCACACAGCTAAAGTAACAGCACTCGTGCGTGGCATCTTGATCATGTATGTGATGTTGCTGAGATGGTACGACGCGTGGGGTGGCGATGGGGGCAAACGGGGCACAATTAGTTCGAGAATCTCAAGTAGAACCCCGCCTTGAAGGTCTTGGCCAGCGCCTGGCCTCGCAGAGTGAATGTTGTATTGCCACTTCCGGCCTGCGGGGAACAGTCACATTAAGTCGTGTTTAGAGCGACACTGTTTTATTGTCCTCAAGCCAACGCTGGCCTAGGATCATTAGGTTTATAGTTTGCAGCAATTTTATATGCATTATTTTGATAATATAGTTTGCGGTAAAATTTTTAATCATAGAGGATTTACAAAAAATTATTATAATAATCTTTGTATTAACTGACGATACTTATGGAACGGAAACAAAATTATTCGTTGCGGCTTTATTGAGTTTGATTGCATGGAGGCTGACGAAATTGACTTTCTCTTGCGGATTTAGTGAAGGTAAATAATTAAGTTGAACCGAAACTAGGACTAAAGGTCAGAAAGACCCTCTGGAGTTACGATTAATAAGTTTAATTCAAGACATCTGCGATATTTATCGTGGATTATTATGTCATATTTCTTCTGGAAAGAGTTACACGAGAACCTAAGCAAAGAAAACCAAGATTGACATAGACACCAAAACCCTGCCTTACTCCCTTACTTACTCACCTTAGTATCAGTGCAGAAATCGGCGTCGAGCGCGGTATCGTAAGTAGCGCGCAGCGTGTAGCCGTCGCAGGCAGTGGCAGCGGCATAGAAAAGCTCTGCAACAAATTCAAAGCGAAAAAAAGAAGTTGATGTGAAAGTAACGCTGCAGTTGTAGGCCGGACCGTCCGGGAATGCCTTGCACCCGAATCCAGGGTGTGAGTACACCATAACGTAGAATGACTTGGAGAGGAGGTCAGCCGCAAGTTGAATGGTCTTGCCGCATTCGTTCACTGCGGGTACAAATTAGTTGAATAATCTCAAAGTGACTGAGTACAATGTATTGATCTTTTCATATGGCATGGAAAGGAAAATTAGGATAAGTTTGCTGCACACGACTGTAGGTAAGCCTGGGCACTGAGCACAAATTAACGTGTCGTTGATCACCTGGCTGCGCTTCATCTCACTTTAGTATACCCGATTAAAATATATTATAATGAAACGGGTTTGGTATAATGATTTTGTCGCCTCGTGTTGACTCACATCGTCAGGTATCGGCTGAGGCCAAGCAAGGACACATCAAAGTAATTATCTGGCATACCAACCTCACCGAATGCTCTCAATGCCGCGTAGTGTAGTGCGCATGACGCTAAACGATGTAGATGTGACGTATAGGTATATAATGGCACAGTGGTGATTATTATTCCATTATAATTTGGTTAAGATTGATATTGTCATTTACATCACTGAAGTGGTGACACGAACTTAAAAATAGTAAAGCGAATAATTAATTTTTAATGAATGAAATAAGTAATTAAATTATATAAATGAATAATCATTGATAATCAGAGCATGGCGAGAAAAAAATCCAGAATTTTCTTACTAAAGTTCATGATATGCAGACTTAAGCACAATATCATGCCTAGCAGCCGCAAAGTCCCTAGATCGCCAATGTGCTACACCTGCTATAAAAAATATAAACCATGGCAGTTGTACAACTTGAAAAAAAAAATCAACAGGGAAATCATTATTCTTTTTATCTCCAATCAAATCTTGACTGTAAATGACGTAAGCTTTTTGGGACGATATTTGCCACTACGGTACGCATTCAACACGGTAGAAAATTTCTTACCGAAAAAATTTCCCAAAAGTATTTTTCTACTGCACGGTGCAGAAGAAAATACTTAATGCAATCCCATAGAAATAGCTCGGTTAGCGAGTTTATTACCACCGGCTAGGGCAGCACAACTCAGCACAGTCCAGAGCTGACAGTATCGTGGTTGTAAAAGCTGTAAGTGTTTGTTACTGAGAGAACTAAACTTGTTCTGTTTTTGGCGGCTAAAATAATACGATGACTATCAATTATATATGGGATCGATAGTAAATTACATAGTAGTTAAAAATAATATATTTGATCAATTATAAATTAATATTAGTTATGAATGATATTATATGAAAAGGATCATTGGTGAGAGGTCTTTGGGCGGGCCAACATGCAGGTCTAATGTCGGAGCACTCATCCACACTGCCTGGAGTGTGGAGAAATCAAGGGAACCTGACGTAGATTATACTTTAGTTAAAATACAGAACACTCTGCGTATCTGATACTCACGCAGGTAGTAAGCTGGGAGCGTTCTGTAGACGAGGACAGGTATTCCGCATGGAGAGTCGGTGACGCAAGAAGCCAGGTCCAGATCGAATAGTTGAATACCTTTGTAGGTGTTATCGGCTTGAGGAAAGATGAAGAATCGCCCAGATGTCACTTGGACAGGCAGGAACAAATTAATTAGTGGATTTGATGACTCATCAATTGGTGCATTTCGTTGCTAAGACAAGCCGTTGTCGGCAGTTTTGAGGTGATAGGTCAAGGTCTCTATATAGGGAGCTTCGTTGTTTGGAAAAGCTGTGACAAGAACTTTACATCGACAAATGCCAAAGAGATTACCTTAGAAATGAAGAATGTTCTCAAAAATGTCCTTATCAAGTACTATGTGTAATAAGTTTTCCATTTCAATTCGAATGAAAGGCAGAACACCGCAGATTGAACTGCCTTACACCTACACTAAATTGTAGTAACAACAAAACGACTCGCATCTTCGGCAAGCGAGAATAGATATCGTACTCAAATGCTCGTCATATTTGAGATAAAGGGCTCTTCATAATAGAGATCAATAGAAGAGATGAAGGGCGCATCATGAGATAGAGGGTGCATCATAAGATAGAGGGCGCATCATGAGATAGGAGCTCATAGAGATCGAGTGCTCATCATAGTAGAGATAATTAAAGAGCTCATAATAATATAGGGATCGAGGATTTCACTGATGATGAAAATAGTTTTTTTATCTCACTTAAGCTCCGAGTGTCTTTTTTAACACGTTAAATCCGAAGTTGTACATATACGTACCATGAATTTTATTTCTCCAGGACGTAGTGGTACATAATTCTGGGTTGCCAAATGGTCTAAAAACGGCAATGTCCGCGAACAAAAACGGCATCAAAAATCCTATAACTCAATATATAAATATATATATACCTACTAGTATGTTTGAAGGTTCCGGTGTAAATTATCCATTTATTTTTTTGCAGGTTTTAAAATTTAATTAGGAAGTACCCCTATCATTAATTTTAGCCGGCCAACGCGATTGAAAAAAATAATAAATCTCAGAATTTGTCCGCAAAAAAGATTGTCTGGCAACCCTGTTTCAAAATAGTACATAAAATGAAATAATAGTACAAGCTGAAGCAATCGGACTCAACGTGTTAGATATGTATTACATGTTCTTAAATGATAATACGGGAAAAAATGTTCGATCATAACTTATCAGTGTCGAGTAAGTTGTTTCCTTTAATGATTTTATTATGAGTTGTTGAAACGTAAAATGGAAAGATTATTTATGAAACTCTGATTAAAGTTTTAAATAGAAGCAAGACGACTTAATTAAAAAACTGGTGTCTCACACAAAGATGGGAAGAATGAAGAAAATTCTGTTATTTCGACACTGCACATTAGGCGTGACATCACCATTATACGCGGACTTACGGCTTAACTTGATATTCGTTTGAAAAAATTTATTCAGTAATTTCACTTAGGCCAGTGTGTGATTTATTTTACTGCAATCGTGATCACAGAGTGTCGAGTGTGGAGTAACGAATCATGTTTACATATGTATATGAGAAAAATAAGGTTTCTTAACAGCGACCAGTATTCAGATAGAGAAGGTTAGCTGGAGTCGTGAGGGAGAGGCTAAATGAATTTTGTCCTACTTGGCAAACCGTAATTGCATCGCGAAATATTGACAACTTACTGTCAGTTGGCTCTATAATTTGGTTTTGAATGACATCCAGGAAAACATTCACGAGCTTGTACTGCTTAAATCCGGTGTTCTCAACAGTGACGTTGACGTAGGGAGCAGCGCCTGTTGAAGTTCGCTTTTTTAAATATTTCAAAAATGAAGGTAAACTACTAGCGAGAAATGCGGTTAGCATGGCCAGTACACAATACAAAACATCCTACATATCCGCGAATGTCTTTCTAGCCTCCTAGCCGCGTCACTAGATAAGTTGTCGCGTCACTAGATAAGCCGCACTAGGAAATTGCCTCATAATTTGCCAATTTTCTGATCGTACGTACAGTCGCACGCACTCTGCCAAATGGAAGAGCTGAGGACTTGGACATATGAGGTCTGTCAAACCTGTTTTAAGCAATCAATCACATATCCAGTTTAATGAAGTACGCCATGATTGTATCATTTTCTGGTTTGAGTATCATGTCTAAAACGATTCGTTTTTATCAGATTCATATAGATTCGTGTATGAATCCCCATTCGCATCAGTACAGAAAGTACAGAAAGTGGAAGCCACCACCCGTCTTGTGTCAATAATTATTCAAGTCAGCACAGAACGTAAACGAAAATATCAAAATTAATCCTGTACTTGCCAAAACTTCCTAATAACTCAATAGCACTGTAATCTTCATGTGATTTCTTAATATTGTCATTGTAATACCTTCTCCATAAAGCCATTCGAGACCAACATCAAGCCGTTCGAGACCGTCAACAAGCCGCGCTTGATCAACAGTAAGGCGCTCGAGACAACATAAAGCTCCAATCCACTCGTGAGCTACACAAAACCGCTCTGGACCAACAGAAAGCCTATTTTGATCACCGACAAGTCACTCCTGACGACCAACATCAAGCTGCTCTCAACCAGACTTAAAAATATTTATAATAATATTTTACTTTGCTTTTGTAGCAAAGGTCAACGGTGTTGGTGCATCGAACGGCAGCTAAATGTCCGGTGTGAATCTGGCGTCTCATTATATATGTAATTGGGACGTAATATTCACTCGACCTGATAGAGATTGATGACGTGAGTCTGGAAGACACCACGTGATAGCTCACGCGATCAAGACATTAGTTGTGGACGGAAGTAGTTGATACGCAGTAGTTCATAAGCGCCCCGCGACGTAACGCGTCGATTGAGTTCTCCGATCTTGCGGTCGACGCAGTAGCTTATACCTCTGTATCGTAACTCATGTATAACCACCCCGTATATAAGATATATTATCAGGCACATGTGACTTACTTATCCTTCACGGCCTTAGTCACGTAACCCGATTCTCTGGTAGAGCTTAATCTAAAATGATCTGGGACATGAAGGCACCTTTAAACAGCACACGTTCACGTGACACTGGATCATGCGCGACCGTGCAAATGAGCGTTTATTAGCTGCTCGACTGTATACATGATGAGCGTCCACAAGATGCGCGACTGATGCACAATATAAGTACACATATGCTAGTATTCACCAACTGTCAAGACATTTGTATAAAGTATAATCAAAGACTTATTTGCAGGAACACGCGTGAACGTTTACTTAGTCAGACGCCTTCCTGCAAAGGCGCGCTCACTTACATTCACTTGAGCATTAAAAGGAGATACGTATTGACCTAAACTCCCCCACACGCTCGCTTATATGAACAAACCTCCCACACACATATAGACATACTAAAGGAAGCACACACAACTACTTACGCTCACACTCAATACACTTTGCGCAAAACGCAGTACACAACGCTAACCAACATAGCCATCTGGCAACTTCTATTTGCTGCTACAGGCGATGGTCGGACTGTGTGAGAGTTTGGCCATGTGCGGAGTTGAGCTGTGTGCGACGGTTGGACTTTGTTCGAGAGTTGGGCTTTGTGCGGGAGTTGGGCTTTGTGCGGGAGTTGGGCTTTGTGCTACAGGTACACGGCTCACCACCAGCGATTTGCTGCCCGGCATCATCAGGGACCGGAAGCGGACAGAAGTGGAAGTCTTTGCTCCACAACTCAGCGGACCAGGGCGGCCTGTAACCACATTGACCTGCGGATGAACGGGTGCGAGTTACTCCCCCGCTGTGGTTGGGTTTTCATTGCTAATTGAGTTCCTCGCTGCTAGCAGCTAGACGGCTGAGTTCATGTTGTTCTAGTTTAAAGTAGCCGAGCTGACCCAGGAGCTGTATGACTGGGCTTTTATCTAATTGGGAAGAATTGCTCATTACCCGATTCGTAGTCGCCAGTTACGCTAATTTTCCATAATAAATATATCAGTTTTGTTTAAATCATCCCTACAGGAGGATCACTCGGTACTAAGTACGAGGCGTGTTTCTTAAATAAGTTCCGCAGGCTGTCGCTGGCGCTAGGATCGTTTCTCTGCGCGGCTAGGCAACTGAGGCAGGTTGTTTGATTCCCCAACTCAAATCCCTTACCAAGCCAGCGTCCCTGCGACCCTTGGTCTTGTCCCAGCAGGCGTCGGCGATGGAGCTTCATCATGCGTCTCCCGCCAGCAGCGAGTTGCGGTCTGTTACTCGCTTCCTGGCCACTCAGTAGAAATCGGCGATGGGAATTCTCGAAGAACTTTGCCAAGTAAGAGTGTATAAGCTCCGGGATGGTGCGCAGATGGGTCAGGGACTTTAAAAATGGCCGAACTGACGCCCATGCAGGGACGCCCGCTGCCGCCTTGACGACGCCCGCTGCCGTCACGACGGCGCCTGCTGCCGCTGGTGGTTTGCAGTGAGCTTTTTTTGGTGACCATCTTGCGCAGACCGTTGAATAGTCTAAATGTTCAGTCAAAATCTTGTCAATTGTGGTTCTGCTGACCTCGGGAATTTTTCACACTGCACTCGAACTGCGATCCGTCGATCTTTAAGCATTACCGCTTCGAATTTAGCAATTGTTTCGTCAGAAACCGATAGCCGCCCTGCACGGGGCATCGTCGTGGTCGTCATTTTGGCCATTTTAAAGTCCCTGACCCATCTGTCCACCATCCCGGAGCTCATACACTCTTATCCAAACACTTTGCAGAGTCCTTCGTGAATTTCCTCCACCGATTTCTTCTGTGCGGCCAGGAAACGAATAAGAGACCGCAACTCGCAGCTGGCGGGAGACGCAAGAGGAATCTATCACTGACGCCTGCTGGGGCAAGACCAAGCGTCGCAGGGAGGCTGGCATGGTAAGGGATTGGAGTTGGGGAATCAATCAACCTGCCTCATGCAGTTGCCTAGCTGCGCATAGAATCGATCATAGCGCCAGTGGCAGCCTGTGGAACTTATTTTAAAAACGTGCCTCGTACGTTATTAGATATAACAAAAAATGAGGTCGACGTTTTTGCGTCCTTCCTAGGTAACCAAAATCTTTATTCCCAACAACGGAAATGGATGAAAATTGTTACGAAAAATGATAGATTTTCTGATTTATAACGATTGGCTAATAATTACCAAACAGAATCATACATCAATCGTACAATGAGCAAGATTAATTTTTTGAAGTAGTTGATATCAATCTCCCGTCTTCTCAATAGTGTACCTTCCTCTAGAAGGATTCTACAGAGAAAATTGTGTTATATAAGAAACTAGAATCTGTTTGCCTAGCTTCTCGTTGGTAGTCTGAGCTTTGAAATGTGTCGTCGCCCTTTCCACCAAATTACGTTGATTAAAATCAATAGCATTTATGCATCATGCACCAAGCGAATGATTACTTAGCTGTTCATGAAGAATTCTGACACAAAATAATAATCAAGGCGACGCAACTGGAAACATGGCTACGGCTATTGTACTCACGCTGTCAGGATACGAAGCCGAGGCGAGTCCAAGGCCCAACACCTGCAACACAAAAAGCGCTATGATGTCAAATAGAGACAAATGCCCGGACGAAACTGCTATGAACCAGCATGAAAAGGGAGATTCGTGAAGCTTTTGGAAGACAGATTATGTTCGGCGTGGTTACATTTTGTGGTTATTGTAAAGCTGCTAATTACTGATTCTTCAGCTGCAGAAGCTCATCTAACAACATGGATAGAATTAACATATTACAGGTGAAAATCGTTGTAAAGCTCATGAAAATGTGTCCAAGATCACTCAACCTTTTTTTGAGAAGCAGTAATGTATTGGTTATAGCAGCTGGCATGACTGACATCAAAGAGACAGGTTCATTTGCGTACAATTACGATGAAAAAAATCAACGCAGCTGGAGTGTTAGGTACTAGAAAAAAACACAGCTATTGCATAATTACAATTAAAATTAAAAATAACATGTTGATCTTGTTTAGCATTCATAATTGTGGCCTCTCATGCCATTGCCTTTCATAAACACTAGCAGATGATCCTGGCGCTGCTCGGGGTAGATAATTATCATTGTGTTTTGAGAATCTCGTTAACAAATCATCCCAACCGAATCAAATCCATATTCAAGTATCAGCCCTAATTAAAACGCCAGTTTGTGTACAGTAATTGTATTTTCAAGATAATTAATAAAAGCTCTTATGTTTTTGATAACCATTATTCGATGTGACTAACCCCTGCTGGAGCAGGAAGACTCAAAGCGCTCGCGTGATGTCTTATTTACTTCAATGAAAAACGAAATTTATAAGTGCAATTAAGTGAAGATTATTGATGAAATGTGACTAAAGTTCCATGCAGACCATCTTAATGTTACCATGACATCTTTAATCGCTGATCAAGACTAATATCTTGTTTGCTATGGAAATCTTTTAGTAGTGATCATCTGAAGACAGCACTGCAACTATAATATTTTCGTCACCACCAAATTTCAGGAATATAATCGCGCGATGAGCAGGTGAGTGAATTCCACTACACTCGATTTTTTTTTGTTTTTTTACCGAGACCTAAAAAACCTGCTTGCCACCTCACGTGAAGTGAACCCAAGTTGTGTATGAAATGGTAAATATTAAGTTTAAGATATATATTAATTAACCTCTGAAACTGGTTCAAATTTGCAATGAATTGAACTTGGTTCAGCGATATTTTCTACAAGTCTGTAAACGAAGTTTTCAAAACCAGCAAGACCAAAAATCTTTCACAAACAAAAATTTTTGGTTCTTCATCAGATGAGGGGATGACGAGTTTGTGTCAGTCTCAAGTTACATAGTAAAATTTC